TTGGTGGTCAAAGCCGATACTCACAGGATCAGCCGCGATCTTGCTCCCAAGCCAGAGGAGCATGTAAAACAAGGAGAACAAATCCCGAGCCGGCCCTCCTTAAATGCAGATATTTGGAATGAAGATGCGCTGTCCGCTGAAGTCACTCTGAGACGTTAGGTTTAGATTTAGGACCTATTCAAACCGAATGGCCTTTCTCAGGGACAAATCTGCCCGTAGGTCAAGGAGAGGGATCTGTCAAACTGCAATCTCGAAAAGAGGAGACAGAATTGCGCTGGGAACTCAGCTTCGCTGGTGGGGAGAAAGTCAAAAGCGTTCTTTCCATCCACACATCTCTTCGGATTCCAGCATCGCCTGGTAGTGGAATATAGACTTGACAACCGTCCCCAACCAGGTGCCCTCGAAATGCGTTGGATACTCCGGTCATGCTTAGTCAAAAAACGTATTAATTATGCCGATGATTTTTAAAAAATGTAGTCCGATACATCTGGAGAGCACCAAGTGGGGAAAAACCAGGCATTGGATCCCTGAACAGAGAACACAAATGATCTCTTTTTCCTGAATGGCTGTAGTAATCACACCAGAGACAGGGACTCTGATCACCCAAGTCACAAGTGGTTCCTTCCACAATCGCCACAGGTTGCTCAGAAGCAAACCAAGAGGCCTCGCTTTTCAGCAACTTTAGCTTGAAACAAGGGATGTAGCGATATTTGACAGCCCCAATTCGGAGTCAAGTTTAAAACGTGGTAGCCCAATTCTAGGCAGACAATTCCGAAGTAAATTCTGCTGAATTGTAAGGGACAATGCCCTATGGGTGGTCTAGAGTTACATCCCTCGGCTGGAGAATAATATCCACGGATCTTGGCAGGACTTAACTGCCAGCTAAACCTAAAGGGGACAGGTATCGCCTTGGCTATCTTGGCGACCTTGGGCCGTCACTCTTTCTCTCAGTCCTTCACAGGGTAGCTGGTGTGGGGAAAATAGGAAGAGGAAAGTCAATTAGGTATGTTCACTGCCTTGAGTTATTTATAAAAAAAATAATAAAGGTGGGATATAAATAAATAAAATAAATAATGTTGGCAAAATGGGAGGGGGGAGAGAGAGAAGGGAGAATGAAATATCATTATTGAAGGACTGTCCTGTTGGACTCAATGGGATTTATTTTCCAACAAATAAATATTGGCAATAAATAAATCTTCGCTGGCAAATAAATCTCAGCCCAAGAGCCTTGGTCCAGCCAGGAGTTTGCAGGAACAGCTCACTTCAGCTGTCCACCCCAACACCCCCTTCCTGCTTCTACCCACAATTGGCTTTCAGGAGCAATGGGGGGGGGGAAATACCAGCCAAAGATGTTTCTTTGGAGCCAGGGCAGGCTTAAATCAAAGTTGGCTGCGGAACTGCCGGCTCATTGCTTCAGCTGTAAAAGAGGAAAAGTATCTGGAGGATATGCATTGCCCACCCTCCTAGGGGCTCAGAGAAAAGGATGGGGTGGCTGTTTGTGTAAAGGGACATATTAACACCTTGGGATGAAGTAAGCCCTGATATCACCCCTCTCGCGTTCCCCTATTCCCCCCCCCCCTTCCAGTCCTTGGCGTGTTTAAAAATAGTTCCTATTAATGATTAATCAAGTCACAATTATCAAGTCACAGAAAGATGGCTAGGATCTGGGGGGAAGGAAAAACACTGTTCTGTTGTTAGGTCCAGCTGAGATGTGATGCTGTAAGGACCACCAATCTTCACTAAAAGGCCAGGAAAGTAACACTGGCCTGGGGCTGCGATTGGAGAGACAAAAGGGACATTTCGAAGTGTCTCCTTGGGCTGCTTTTGTCACTCTGTCAGAAAGGCTTTGTGCAGAACAAGGGCCCCACAGCATAAGAGCACCTTGGAAAATCCAGAGCTGGTGGGGATCAATAGAAGGGCATCTGGAAGCCTGAATGGGCTTTTAGGGGCTCTTGGCTTTGGCCGGGGCCTGTCCTCAATAAGGGGGCCTTTAAGCCCCATCCCCTGTTCATCTTCCCTTCCATCCTTGCAGTGTTTCTATCAAAGTCTATCAAAAGCGGTTCTCGGAATTCTTCTGAAAGAAAGAATTGGGGAAATAAGTACATAACAGAACTGGTGCCAGGGTAACCTCTAAACACAATTCCCCCAACCTTGTAACTTTCCTTGCTAGACTGCTCTAGAGCGATATATTCAAGCATGAGGGTGATATTTTCCTTGACCCATCTTCTTTTAAATCACCCTGAAATGTACTGCTTTAGAACCAGGCAGTCACAACTGGGAGTCTCCTTCTCCTTCCCTTCTCCCCCAAAATCAGCAGCCTCTTTCTTGGTTCTCCTCACAGAAGACCAGCCAGAGAGATTCTTGTGAAAAGCCTTCCGGCAACTCAGGGTTTATTTAATTAGTAGTCAATGTGTTGGGGAAGGGTGGTGGTGGTGACCCCACACTCGTTAAATTCTCCTCCCACATCAGACACAGAGGCTTAATACCTTATCACTTATAAAGTTAACTTAGAGAGGTGCAACTGTGTGGTGTGGGGGGAATTTTCTGTGTACCGCTTATATACACACCCTAGGTACACACAGGTCTTCCTAAATCCATCCTGTCGGCCTGCTTCGCTGAAAACTTGTCAAAAGCTGGTTAAGTGTTAGAGAAAGAAAGAAATCTATCCCTGGAAGTTTGATCAGACAGCTGTCTGGGGCAGGAAAGGGTGAGGTTATGGGGACCTGGGAACAAGGGGTGCGGGCTTGATCACCTTGATCTGGGAAGACTAGAAGGCCATCTGCCATTTCTCCTGCATCCCTGGTGACTCTGGGAGAAGCAGTGACCTCCAAGAAAACTCTGGGCGGCTGTGGAAAGAAGGAAGCGTGCCTAAAGGGCCGTTGGCAGGGCCTCATGGAGGAGATCAGAGAGTCAGGGACAACCGTTTGGGCAACCCAAGGCCAGGCCAAGCGAGGCATGCGCTGAGACGAAGCTGTGGGAACCCCCGGGTGGCTATAAGTCGCTGCCATTCAGGCCAGGCGAGGTGGTGAGCAGAGTCCGCCAAGCTTAAAGCAAAGTGTGTGTGTGTGTGTGAGGGGGGGATCAGAGTATCAGAGGAATGTGAGCGATGTCAGGCGAGTGGGAGCCTTCTGATGTGCACAAACCGTAACGAGAGGAGAGCTCGCTCGCATCCAGGTTGCCGATAAATATCCACATTTGCCCAAAATATTTAAGATCGTCGCCGAGTTTGTTAAAGAGACAATTCGAGGCGCTGTCTTCTCATAGCTGTGAATTTCTTTTGCAAGATTCATAGCAAAATCTCAGCTTGTTGTTTGGACACACGCGAAGAGTTAAGGTCCGCGTTTACACGTTTCCCCTTGACGCTGTCATTTATGTTGCCACTTTAAATGTCCAAAAGATGGGTTAGATCCCCATTTTCCGAACCCTTGCCTTGGGGTGGAAAAAAAGGAGGTGCAGTCTGATGGAAAAAGCTCTGGAAACCCACCACGGTACCGTGCGCCGTGGTTGCGACCGGGTCAAGTCGAGATATTAGCCCTCTTCAGACGGGTTGGGCGATTTCTCTCACGTTCAAGCACAGCTCTATTTCCTTTCCCTCTATCATCTGCTACCACCTTAATCCCCCCCCCTCCAGCTCAATCTCTCTTTTTTTCCCCACGAAATCTAACCTTGAGCCTATCGCAAGCTCGGTTAATCTTCTCCAAAGCCTTCCCAATACCTAGTGGTATTAACAGAGATATTACTGTGGTTAAAGCGGCGTTTGCCTCTCGATGAGTGACTGGGTGTGTGTGTGTGTGTGTTGCGTGTTTTCATTCCGGACGAGTAGACAACTGCCATTTGATCCACCTAACGTCCCGTGCAAGGAAGGGGGCTAGAGAAGCCGTGTATGGGAGGGGGAGATGGATGAGGGGGTCCACCGTGTGTGTGTGGCCGGTCTCAGAACTGTAAGTCACCGGGCGGCGGCGGCGGCGACGTCGGCAGCTTCCAGCGTACTAGCAGCAACATTTCTCTCCCGACGCCCATTCAGAACTCGCCTCCGCCTTTTCATTGGCTGCGCAGTCCGGGGCAGGGCGGAGCTTCGTGGCCTGGAAAGAAAAGGGGGAGAGGGGAAAAAAAAAACACTCCAGCGAGTGCGTAAAAAAGTCTTTGCCTCGGCGGCGGATGCTCAAAAGTTCAGACGTTTTTTCCCCGGTGCCTTCCCGAGCAGATCGAGGGAAGCCGAGGCGGAGATCGGGGCAGCGCTTCAACCCGCAGGCGCTCGCGAGAAGGTGGATCTTTCGCCCTAAGCTCAGCTTTAGACCAGAAAGGGGAGAACTATCCGGACCGGGCCTCTCCCTCCACATTTTTTTTTCTCCCCTCCTCTCCTCTCTTCCCCGCTGTTTACTTCGCCTGGCTGGGACAGCGTTGGTCAACCTGTTGGCGAGCTCCGCGGGCAAAACAACTCCAGAAGCGGAGTGTGGGCTCCTGTGAGTGCGCGCGGGCGCGCGTTTCTATTTTTACGCTCGATGGAAGTAACTAACTTTTCTTCTCGGCGGCGGCCGCTTCCGTGGAGTGTCGGCGCCTCGGTTTAAGAAGAAGAACCACCACCAAGAGGAGGAGGGGGGGAAGGGAAGGAGATCGAGTCCCCCCCCCCTCTCACCCCTCCTCCTTTCCTCGCTGGCTGTTTTATTTACCGATTATTATTTTTTTGAGACCATTTTCTTTGTCGCGCCCTTGAGCCGAAGAGGGGAGAAAACCGAATAGGATCCAGAGAAGGGGGGGTTGTTGGTTCGCCCCCCCCCCTTTTTTTCCCCTTCTTCTTCTTCTTCTTCTTTTTGGAAAAAAGGAACATCCTGGTCGCCTCTCCTGGTTTATACTTTTTTGGCTCCGGATTTGCGGAGGGGTGGAGGGGGGAAAGCAGAAGAGGCGGCGGCGGGGGAGGAGGAGGCGGCGGCGGAGGCGGCGGCGAAGGAGGAGGCCAGTCTGCTGCTGCTTGGTCCGGCTGGACTGCTGGAAGGGAGGCCATGCAGGCTCGCTACTCGGTGTCCAGCCCTAACTCGCTGGGAGTGGTACCTTACCTCGGCGGCGAGCAGAGCTACTACCGGGCGGCAGCCGGAGGGGGCTACGCGGCCATGCCTGCCCCCATGAGCATGTACTCGACTCACCCGGCAGCTCATGAGCAGTACCCGAGCGGGGGCGGCGGCGGCGGCGGCATAGGCAGGCCGTACGGGCCGTACCCACCGCAGCCCCAGCCCAAGGACCTGGTCAAGCCGCCCTACAGCTACATCGCGCTCATCACCATGGCCATCCAGAACGCGCCCGAGAAGAAGATCACGCTGAACGGCATCTACCAGTTCATCATGGAGCGCTTCCCCTTCTACCGGGACAACAAGCAGGGCTGGCAGAACTCCATCCGGCACAACCTCTCGCTCAACGAGTGCTTCGTCAAGGTGCCCCGCGACGACAAGAAGCCCGGCAAGGGCAGCTACTGGACCCTCGATCCGGACTCCTACAACATGTTCGAGAACGGCTCCTTCCTCCGCCGACGCCGCCGCTTCAAGAAAAAAGACGCCGTGAAGGACAAGGAGGAGAAGGAGCGCCTCCAACTTAAGGAGCCGCCGCCGCCGCCGCCTCCTCGGCACCAGCCGCAAGAGGGAGGCCAGCAGCAGCAGCAGCAGCAGCAGCCGCCTCCCCCCGTCAGGCTCCAGGACATCAAGACGGAGAACGGCTCCGCGTCTCCCCCGCAAGCCCTGTCCCCGCTGGGAGGAGCGCCAGTGCCCAAGATCGAAAGCCCCGAGAGCTCCAGCACCAGCAGCCTCTCCAGCGGGGTCGGCGGCGGCGGAGGAGGAGGCAGCCCGCGCGGTGGCCGAGCGCTGGGCTTGGAGTCCAGCGGAGCAGCCGAGTCCCAGCCGCAGAATCAGCACCACCCCCACCATCCGCACCCGCACCAGCACCCCCATCACCATCATCCGCACCCCCACCACCACGCCGCCCTCCACCATCCCCCGGCGCACCATCATCCCGGAGGGGGAGGGGGAGGCGGCGGCTTCAGCGTGGACAACATAATCATGACCTCCCTGCGCAGCTCGCCGCAAGGCGCCTCCGCCGAGCTCCTGGCTTTGCCGCCGTCCGCCGCCTCTTCCGCGGCCTCCTCATCGTCCTCCTCGTCCAGCGCCTCCACCTCCAGGACAGCCTCTCTGGCCCTGAGCAGCTGCTACTCCCCGGTGGCGGCCGCGGCGCAGAGCTCGCTCTACAGCGCCCCCTGCAGTCAGGGCGTCAACACCACCAACAGCGCGGGAAGCGCGGCCTCGCCAGTGGGCGGCGGCACCAACACGAGCAGCAGTTACCACTGCAACTTGCAGGCCATGAGTCTCTACGCGGCCGCCGCCGCTGCAGCCGCCGCCGCCGGCGGGGGAGGGACGGGGGGCAACGGCGGAGGGGACCGAAGCGGCGGGGGCCACCTGGGGAGCAGCCCCGTCGAGCCGGACCCGCTGCCCGAGTACAGCCTGGCGGCCAGCAGTAGCAGCAGCGCCTCCTCCCTCAGCTTGAGCCCTCCGGAGGGGCACCCGCAAGGCGGCGGCCGCTTGGCCTCTTGGTACCTCAACCAAGCCTCGGCGGTGGGCGAGCTCACGCATTTGGCGCCCGCCTCGGCTGCCGCGGCCACGTCGGCCTCCTCCTCCTCCTCCCCGGCGGGCTACCCGGGCCAGCAGCAGAATTTCCACGCCGTGAGGGAAATGTTCGAGTCCTCCCAGCGGCTGGGCTTGAACAACTCTCCGGGTAATGGCAGCGGCGCGGCCAGCAGCTGCCAAATGGCCTTTCCCGCCAGCCAAACCCTTTATCGCCCTTCAGGCGCCTTCGTCTACGACTGCAGCAAGTTTTGACCGCCGGGAGCGGGAAAGGGAAGGAGGAGGCGACGGCGGCGGCCGAGTGATAAGAACTCCAACTGGGCCCTCCGGCCTTCTTTCCCCACCAAACCAAAGGGGGCCAAAAAAAACCAAACAAAAAACTATTCAGCAGTGCAAAAGGCCGCATTTGCCCAATAAATAATTAAGTCATGGTTTGTTTAAGGACAGTGTTACACCAATAACACGTAAGTTTGTATGCTTTCCCCCCCCACCCACACACACACCCCTTTGAAAACTGCCTCCCCCTCTCCCCCCCCCCCCGTTTCCATCTGCGCGCTCTCCTGCGCCAGCCTGCTTGGCTGCCTGCCTTGCGCTTGACCCGGCTGGATGCCGACCGAGGAGGCGCATCCCCTCAACGGAGCGCGCAAGGCAGGCCGCGAAACGAGACTGCCCCGTGGCTCCCAACACGGGTGGGAGTTTTGCCACGGACTTCGACGAGGGCCTCGCCACTCTTTAACGAGGTGCAGGGCCGTTTCAAAAAGCAGTAAGAAGTTTTGCCCATTGACTCCTACGCAACGTGGATTGCGCAGTACACGTGTTCTTTCTTCTTCTCTCTCTCTTTCTCTCCTTTTCTCTCGCTTTCCCCGAAAGGGCTGTTTTATAACGCAAAAGACTTGTTTTAAAGTGTAAATGGAACATAGTAATTTATTTTTAAATCTGTTGTTGGATCGTTTGGACCAAACACCCAAAATGGTTGCCCCTCTCCCATCAGGAAAAAAAAACCCAAAAAAACAACTGACTTTAAAATGACCTGAAACGCTCTTTTTTTTTTTCTTCCATTATATAAGAAAAAGGGGGATTGTATTAATCTTATTTTATCATTTTATCATTTTCCTTTGTGTTGTTGAAGATAACCTTGAAGTTATTGACTTGTTTATTAATAAATTACCATTCAATTGGACCAAGAGCATTTACGTCTGGATATTTAATCCTTTTTAAATTAATTTTTTTAAGAATCTGTAAGCCAAAGTCATGAATAGAATCCTTATTTTAGTGTTAAATTAAAACAATAGTTTTGTGTTTAAAAAAAACCAAGTAACTGCCTGAAAAGCTTTTTGAGGGCTAGCAATTCAGTTTTAATTTATATTATCACTGCTAAACTCTTTTATCAGTAAGTAAACCTCATTGAGATCATCTATTTTACGTTGATTTCAATGGAATACACTGCCAGATAGACTTTGGATGAAGTTAAAAGTGATCATAAAAAATGCTCTGAATCAACCACTTGCTTGATAGAAGTATTATTGTTACATTTTTGAGATTTATGTTTATTATATCTCTGGAATCTAGGAGAAAAATTCACTAGGAGAAAAAAATCACAAAAATCTGAGCAGACAAGCCATCACACTTGACTAGCATTAGAACTAAAGGTCAGAAGGCATTTGGCTAATTGAACTTACAGGCACTGCCATATGACGCATAAAGGAAGGCGGCATTACAGAAGTCATAAAAAGATCCAGAAACAAATAATGGGTGTATGTAAACCTGCTATTTTTAGCAGCATTTTCTGATTTCATGTCTCAGTACTTTTACACAGAACTAAATCCCACTAATTTGTGCAGGACTTTTTCTTCTAAGCAAGCATGTCTAATACTGCACTGAACCTTTCAAAATATACATCATTTTTAATGTATGTTTCTGTCCCACTTTCTCTCTCTCTCATCCTAGTATGTAAAGCATTTTACAGCATGTTTGACTTTCTAATAGTTATTTGTGCCTTAGCGCTCTTTATTGATTATTCATTTATATGAAACATTCTTAACTAAAAGTGACCCAGATTGGATCCTAAATGTTTATCCCTCCCCTTTTTTTTCTCCTTTTGGACAAAGAGGTTGTTATTAGGATTGTGTGTTATTTTTGTTTTAATTTTCAAAATGTAAGTGTGAAAGCATCTGAGCACAGAAGCACCATAAGGACTTCTAATGTTGTTGTGGTCTCGCCTACCTTTCTAGCCCACCAAAACTAATGCCAAATTAAGTTCTTAAGATTCCATAAGATCATTACCTGATTCTTATAGTGGCCGATTGGGAGAGGGAAGAAATTTTAAGGTGGCCCCTGCTTCCTCTCTTACCAATGGTTTGGATTCCCACCCACCTTCTTTCATAATTTCTCTGCCTTTTTCCCCCTCTTTTCTTAATAGAATAAATTGCCTTGGGGGATGGCTGCAGGAGCATAAGGTTAAGTCTTGCTCACCTTCAGGTCAATTCCTGAATAGAGGAGTTTGAGGGAAGCAAGGAAGTTCTTTTCTATAACAACTAACAAATCAACCAATGCAATCTACCTTTAGCAGAGAGGGACTGGTCTACCATCAGAGGAGCAGTGAAGAGAAGCTCTATTGCTAAACCTCTGGTGTAAATTTTCAAGAGAAAGCAACCTCCCATCACTGATCTAATCTAAGGCAACACTTGGCAGCAATTGTCCCTTGGATTGTTAAGGGCCACAAATAATAAATAAATTCAGATTAATTTAATTAAGAATTGATCGATCAGGCTGCGCCTCACCTCAGCTGGGCCTCTAAGGAGATAAGAAAGGAGGGCTCAGAAACAGGGTAGGATTGAATCTATGTTTAGTTGTTTGGATTTTGATTTTTATTCCCACTGAGGAATTAATCACAAGCCATTGCAGTAATTTTTTTTTTTAAAAAAATTGTTTCTTTAAAAAATGTTTTGAATTATCAGAAGGGCAAATGCACTGAGGCTGTGTGTATTTTGTATCTATTTGGTATGTATTTTGAAGGGAATCGCATTAAGTCACATGGGATTTAATCTCAAAGGAATCAAATGGAAATTTAAATTTAGAATTTATAGAACTTATCCTTGGTTTCGGACATATTTACTTTTGAAATGAGTTACATTTTAGTTTCTTAACTACAATCCAAAGAAAATGGGCTAAAATTTTAAATTTATAATCAGGTCCCTAAATCGCTTCATCTAAAGATATTGGAATAATTCAAACAAAATAGACCTACTTAAAATTTCAAATGGAAAAAAATAGTTTGGTTTTAACAGGTTCTTGATATTGATTGATGTCTCTTTTTAAGACTGGGTCCTGCATCTAGTTGAACTGAGTGAAGCGGATTTCACATATCTGCATGTATCTTTGGTTTCAGCTGGTCTCTAGTAGCATGCTTACCTAGCCTGATATTTAGGGAGAGTTGATGGCAGTAGTATACTTTTTGGATGGATTACTGTATCCTAACTTTTCTCTTGACTGGCTTAAATACGGTGTTGGAGGCAGGAATCTTTAGGCTTCTTCTAAAAACAATTTTGAATCGAATATCAGTTTTGCACGTTTTATACAATCGGTGGATATAGAATACCATGTTTACAGAATCTCATAATCTAGGCAGGGTCATAAAAGTACAATGAGCAAAGGAAAGGTTTGGAATGAACCTTTGAGTTCGCTGGGGGTGAGAGAATTAAGTGCAAGCTTGTGGTCATCTCCATAGTAAGGATTTTGTATACTTCAGTTTTAGCCAGTTTGAAGCCCTTGTGGCTGTGCATCTAAGAAGCCAAGGGAAAGAGAAAAGGAAATCGGACTGAAGGGCTGGGGGTGGCTATTGCCTTTCCATTCAGTTTCTGTTTTGTTCAAAGGGGGGGGCGGAGAGAGAATGGAGTAGGGAAAATTTCTTATGGCAACTTCATAGCAGTTGCCACTGGCCGCTCCTCAAGTCCACTCACAATTCAGCTTTTGGACTTGGAGGGGGGGGTAGGTACCACGAAACTCCTTTGGAATATATGGAAAGCATTGTTGACCTCACCCAGCTGACCCAGGGATACCAGAAAGGGGCACTATGCTTAAGACCATTTTGTCTCTTGGGTCCTTCATTCTTTTGAACCAATGTCCTCTCCCTTCTCTCCCCCCCACCTCCTCCACTTTCCTTCATGAGAAAAACCAGAGAGGCAGAGGGGGGAGGCTTTCTCCGAGTGCTCCTTTGCTGATTTAGTGGATTTCCAATGGCACAAGTAACTTCCTGCTTTTCCAGCAGTCACCGCCAACTCTTCTGAGGATTAGATTCCTTGACAAAACAGTAGATTTGGGGACAGGCTGGAGATGCGCCTGGGAGGGAGGGAGGGAGAGGAATAGGAGTTCTATTTTATCTGGACTTTCCCCCACAAAGTACCTACAAAGATGCATTGAGTGGGAAAGATATTAGGCCCACAAATCTGGGGGGCACTTGGTTAAGAAAGTGGCTTCAGTGCAGGCACACAGGCCTGATGCAAATCTCATATTTTTGTGCCCAGGCTTCCTGGTAGTGGCTGTCCCCAAAATCAGTGCAATTTGCTTCTTCTCTTGGGAAAGCTGTTTCAAGCGTCCCCCAGATGTTTGATCCCCGAGAAGGAAGGAAGGAAGGCCTCCAGGACTGGCGTGTAAACCACACAGGCCAGACTACAGGGCGAAGAAGCCTCACTGGGTCTAATCAGATCCCCAGCCTAGGGAGAAAAGGTGCCCCAAAAGCGTCTTTTGGAGCAAAGGCGTTCACACAAGGGCAGCAGGCCCGGACTGACTCCCAGATGTGCTTGCCCGGAAAAGGGCCCAGCAGTAAAGACCCACCCCGGGCTGGCAGTCAGGGAGAGCTGGGAAGGAGTCTTGAGATCGCGGCTGCTGTCGGGAGAGCGGGAGGGCTAACTCTCCGGCAGCCTCTCCGCCTTCGCCGGCATTGACAAGATGGGGCAAGCCAGCCTTCCACTTGGGTGCGCTTGCAGACGGCAGCCCACCCAGCCCGGCTGCTTTCAATAAAAGCTGGCGCGGGGAGGACCCTTTCAAGGTCGTTCAGCAACTAGGCCGCTTCTTTCAGTTTCGCCTCTTGATTGCTGTTTATTACTCAGTATTTACTCCTCGGCTGCTCCCCGCCCCCCCTCCCCTCTTTTTGTTTTGATGACACACGTGCGAGGAGGGGAGGAGGAGGGAGGGAGGTCAACCACAGGTGGATCTGCCCCAGGGCCTACTCCCGCGCGCCCCCCCCACCCACCCGCCAGGGCGCAGCAGCGGGGAAAAAGTT